CTGAAATCGGGTGAAATTGCTGAACACATTTTCGGTGATAAATTTTTCTCGGTGTATTTTGTGGATGTGGCTAACTTCACTCCCGTTGGCGCCGATCCGTTTTCTTGGGCTCACTCATTCTATCACTTCCGGAATGGCGCAACAAAACGCACCTAATATTACTATGCAATTAGGCGATCCGACCGAGGTTAGAGTTATTGCACTTACATTTTCAAAATGTTATTATTCAAATTGACAGATTGTTTATTGTATGTATTTGGTGAATTTGGTCGTCTTTGTGCAAGAGGTGCAAAAAACTCAATTCAAGCAGAATAGCTTGATCAACTGTCCATCAGGCAACTCAAAAGGATTGCTGGTGTCTCTGATGATATGCCGAAATTGTGGTCCCATAATTCCTCTACAAATTGAAACTTCAAGGAAAGGTTTTCGCTAAAACTGCACTTATCACGTGATGGGTTTTTTGTTCGAATTTTTTTTTTGTTTCTCACGTATTTTTGTCTAAAAAACACGAATTTCATAATGAAAATGTGACCAAACCACTATTTATCTGCGTTGAATGCTTACAGCTATTTGCTCTTCTTATTGTGTCATTGAAACACTATGTACTCATGATGTACATCAATGACACATTTTCATATAGAACACGATTTTTATGGCGAGTTTTCCATATTTAGTGAACAATCATACCAGATGACGGCTATTTAATCAATAGTCAATCCAAATACGAGATGTCAAATGTCAACAGATTGCTCTTGAATGACATTACACACGGCATTATTTTGAATGATATTCTTCCTTCTTTTTACTAAATATGGATTAATCACAAGAAAATCATATTTCTAGTTGACTCATAATAGAAAAAAATGTGTCTTACATTGTGATATATATATGTGATATATAAATTGTCCAATGATGAAAGAAGAAGGGCAAATTGTTCAAAATGCGAACCAGAAGACAGGCGAAAAAGAAGGTGGAATTTTCAACTTTTTAGTGAAATATCTTGATAAATAATGGTTTGTTCACATTTTCATTCTAAAATTCGTGTTTTTCAGACAAATATACGTAAGTACCAAAAAAACGTTTAAAAAAAAAACATCACATGATAAGTGTAGTTTTACCAGGTTTTCAAGTAGTTGGTTACACTAGTGAACTTCACCTATTTTCTAAATTTACGAGCACAGAAGAAATTGTAGTGGAAAAACAAAGAATCCAACTTACTGTGTGCACTTCATTGAAGTGATCACATGCAAGCTAAGAATATAAAGTTAGGAACTGCTTTACCATTTCTCTCAAAATCACACCTATATAGATAGATTGGTCAACTGAGAAATCAAAAATCATCAGGATCAGGAAGGTAAGACTTGATTTGCTCATTGTTGTTTTGAATGGTAAGTAGTCAAGAGGAATATTGTCTTTTCAACAAAAAGAAATATGCAAAAATTGACTATTTTGACAACAATTTTAGTTAGCCAATGACCTAAATTTCCAACTAAATATCTATCATCATGAATGCCATGATTAGAATTCCATTGAATCTGGGAAATTAAATTAATGATTTAAAACTTGAATTCAGGAGTAAATAGTTCTCTCATCTTTGCTCACCAAAAAAAAAAGCAATAAATTCAAAATACAAAAAATTGCCTATTTAAAATATTCACGGATATTGGGTACAGAATTTCAAAAAGATAATAGAGATAGTGCATAATCGTTATTTAAATTATTCAGGTCTAATTAAGGATACTTTGATGACTCATCTTAATAATAAAATGTCTGTCTAAATAGTGCAGTGGCCATGTGCGACTTTCCCCTTCCTTTCATAAAATATAGTCTGGTGAGAACCAATGAAAGTGGAATTGCATTTTTTTTAATTTAACGCTTTTTTTTATCCAGGTTTTTCTTATCATGATACTCATTTTTCTTCAATATAGAGATGTACAAGGTGTTGAAATATAATGTATGTGTAAATGCCAAATCACTATATGAAGTGATTTTCATACATCAGTATCAGATTTCTTTCAATCAATGATCAATTTCATCATGAAAGTTGTAACAAAATATGAGAAAACAATTGAGTACACTACTTCAAGACAATTAAGATGATTGAAATCCGCACGATTGCTATTTTGTAGCACTTTGGGCGGAAAAAGATGGTGCCATAGATTAGTATAGGTCAATGTCATCATGTATCTTGACTCAGTCAGCAATTTGAGTATACTCTAAAATGCTTGTACTATTTTTAGGGCGTACAGGCACAGGATTTGTCTATTGGCCGCGACCTACATCATCAGGTTTCAGGCGGCAACGGTATTGAGCAGGGTTGGCATCATTTATTTATATATTTTTTTCAATTTAACATTTGATTCGATAATTTTCATTCAGAATGTAATTCCTAATTGATAAGTAACTAAACTTATATTATTTATTTAGATAACAATAAAAAATGAAACAATGCTTGCTTGTTTTGTTGTCTATGGATCTACAATTACTAAGTTGAAGCCACACAACCTGAGAAATTCAATGAAAAGTCGTTATCTGAAGGTATAATTAATGATAAACCATTTTGTTCAGTATCCCTTGAATGTAGCAAAAACAATTAATATTTCTTAATAATAAATTGTGCCAACCCTGATTCTGCTAGTTCAATTCAAATGTGGTGTCTACACTATCAGCTATTTAATCATCATTTTTTGTTCGGTCTTTATTATCATACTAGGAAACGAATAGTTATTTATTATACAAGGGAAAAAAGTAGTAGATTCTAGGTCGAGGTTGTGTTGTATCCGTACGCGTAGCGGAAGGAGACAAAAAACCGTGAGCTAAAATCTAATATTTTTCCCGTGTATGAATACCATATTTTTTCTGTGATAGGAAATAGGACGAATTAATATTGAGAAAATACATTATATTATTATTCAAATCAGAGAATTATCGACGTGAAATTTGAAGTTTTTAACAGGAATGGTTCGCTTCCAAATGGGTCACTCTGTATATCACCTTGTTGATATTGAAAAAAAATTGAGTTTGAAGTGTTTCACATTCTTCACTTCAAGGAAGACAACAACAAAAAAATGCAATTTCACCAACAACAAACATATTTGTAGTTCATCCTGGCCAAACATAAATTTTTCAGTTATCAATAAAATATCCTCATGGTGAATAGCTTACAACCCAAAACGCAAAAAACTAAATTATAATTAATGTGGGGGTTTGAAGCGACACTAATTGAAGAAAAAGTTTTTTTCGTAAAAACAAATTACCTCTGTAAATGGTAGGTATGCATGATTCCTATTTAATTATAAAGAATGTGGCACCACTAAACTACTTGAAATTGTCCCTTTATAATATTTCAATCACTCAGTTTGATAGTTTATTCCACTCATTTCAAAATACATGTTTTTGGATTTGTACTCCACTTCCTCATTGTTAGTTTAATCAAAAATAAATCAAAATGACTGACTATGGATGTTATAATATTTTTATATTCAGTAACACTCAACACTAAATTTGAGCCAAAATCGTGATAGGCTCTCATTAATAATTTGTATCGAAGGATTTTAGACCAATTTCGTATAACAAGGAAACACTTTTGATATGGAACTGAAACTAAACTCATGAGTGAACCATTTACCGCCTAATCACAACATGATAACAAATTATCACAACTCAATCAATTAATTTATCAATCCTTTGGAATTTACAGGATTTATTGTCGATGACACCCCAATTTGGCAATATACATTTTTTCAATGCATCATTAGTTGCATAACGCAACGACTGCAAATGGAAAAACGACATAAAATTATAGTTTTTTTCATAAAATAGCGAGTGAAATAAGCTTAACAAATACAGCTCGTTCTATTGATGATTATCTGAAAAGTTCTTCTCTTTTTGAAACCAATTTGTTGCTTCAGGAAAGCACATACTTCGCCTTTCGCTCCTGTAGTTGTTGCCCAAAAAAACATTATTATTCATAATGGGGATAACATATGTTCTTATATATAACGAAAAAAAAAAACAATTTGTTTCTCAAAATCGAACGGACTTGTTCGGGATTTGTATTCTGATTATTTTTTTCAAATGTCAAAATGTGACGTTCGTTGTTTCAACCAATAGCAATGCATAATAGGCCTTTTCATTTAGATGACAAATGACTATCTCTGTTTACATCTCGCATCCAACGACAGTGGCGGCCATTTTTACCGAAACACTTACACCACACTCCTCAGTAACGAATAAGTAACGTTTTTTGGAATTAAATTATTATAATACAATTAATACACACCAGGAATATTAAAACAAAAATACTATGTTGTTTCTCAATGACGAATGCCCATGGTGGTTGACACTGTAGACATTTGACAGAACGTCAATAATACCCGCCATATTCGAAATGGCCAATCAGCATTTTGGGTTGGAACTATAGCCAATGAGACTTCACCTTCCCATTACCCAATACATTTTTGGATCTAAAAACGAGCGCATGCGTCTTGAAAATATATCTAGATGAAAAGGCCTATTCTAGCCAATTATTCAGAATTAAACTGATAACAGGGCATGGTCCTGGATAAAACCTTGTTTGCATTGAAATATCAAAATTTATCAGACTTACCAGTGTCCGCCATCTTGTTTTTTTTTTTCGACAAGTTCTCCGAGAAAACAAAAAGTAACTTTCATATTTTCCGTAATAGAATATGAGTCGTGGATTGCAAGCGTATTTTTATCAAATTGGTGAAAAAATAATCTTCCCAGACACAACTCCCTCAAATTTTATTCTTTCTTCACTCAAAACTTTTTTATTTGAGGCATCAATCGGTTTGTTTTATAATTTTTGCCAAATGAAAAATCGAAAAACTCGATAAAATTTGAAGGACTGGTGGTGTTACCTTCGATAATCATCAATACAATTATTGTTGTATTACATAGGAAAAAAGCTAATTTCGAAATAAAAACAAATCGCTAAACTAACCTAATTCTGTTTGGAATTATTGTATGTTATCCAGAATCGCCATCGCAAGCTCGCTCTTGGAAGAACTCTTATAAAGGGCCAGCTGGGCCTTCTCCCGCTGCGGGCCGACACGTAGGGCATGCTGACCCGTCTCGTTACAGGGCGAGCCCTTACTCACGCCCATCAAAATAAACTTGAGTTCCAGACAATTTTATTCGTAAATTTGAAATAATTAATGTAATGATTTGATACCGTCTTTTTAGAAGAGTACCTAGTTTTGTACTCCTAAAATAATTTTTACATTATTTGTATTTGAGTTGCTTAATCTATGACTAGTTATTCCTATAAATTAAAATTTTTGAAAAGGTCATATTGCTCATAACAACCAAATCTTGCTTTAGTTTCTGTTAAACACAATTAAAACTCATGAATATTAAAAATAACTCATTTGTCCTAACATTTGCAGAGATAAATGGTTGATTCTTATCACAATACATTCCCAATACCATGTTATACTACTTAGTTTGCAAATCCAAATAAATTACAGATTAATAATATAATAGATGATGATTTGATTTGTTCATAATTCGTCTATACTTTTTATTTGTAACATCCAATGTTGAATATTTCCTGTTAATTTTTCTCTAATGCTCACATGAATAATATGAATTGGCTGATGATGACAAAATCTTGTTTTGATTATGATGAGAAGAAACGTTGCAATAATCCTTCTAAGTTTTATGGTTTTGGGAACAATTTGAAATATAAATTAAAAATGGTTCTCTTTCACTCTGCTACCCTTGTTATTTTATAATTCAATGATGATATTTTTATCTAGTTATATTGAATAATGTCCTTTTATCAAAATAGAAAAAAACCAATTAATCATTGACGTAAATGTATTACAAGTTATCATACATTTCAAATAGTATAAAAAATCCACTTTGAAAAGCTTTTTAAAAGAATGTAGGTTAGATCAACTCAAATACCCTTAAATTTAAACCTTGTAGTCTTAATAATTCATATAGGTACTATACATCTATAAAATTATGTAATGTAATGTGGACGTTCAATAAAATTCAATAAAAAAAAAAATCAGTATTTAATTTATTGAAGTAATTCTTCAGACATTTGGTTAAATAAATAGGTAATGTATAAAGATTCTTCAATCAAATATCTGGGTACTTAATTATTCCAAACTGCAAGATAAACAAATATCAGAAAATGAAGAAAGGTACTTGATGGAATGATTGATTCTAGAATGTATGTATTCATCCAAGTTTTCGTCCTATCTACCTAACACCACTTAGTACACCATGTCTTTATATGTGAAAATAATCATGAAAAAATTGAAACAATCATGAAAAAACAAAAATAATATAGATCATCACAGTTGATTCAACTCAACTTATGTTACAAACCCTTGTTTTATATCTATTATTTTGCAACACTCCCCATGGATATTTTGTTTTATTATCAATATTTCCATATTATATTATCAATGACTTGAATGACCAGTACTCAATAATGTTCCTACTTATATTAAGTTTGATCACAAGTCATAGCTTCCTATGTAATTTTTTGGTGGTTGGTTATTGATTTTTCAGGAACCTGATTCCTTAGCCAAAATATATATGGCCAGGCACTCTGATTCCACATCTGCTGCAATCCAAATGTTCCTATATCAAGGAGTAATCTACAAATATACCAAAATTTTGTGATATTTTTTTAAATGATTGCTTCCTTTGATCATATTCATATTTTACTTTTTTTTAACAAAATATACATATTCTATTTCAAAATTATCCATGGAAGGAATACTTTAACTCAGGCTTGCCTGAATGGTCTAGACAAATTAAACTCTTGATAATATATGAAAAATTTAATAAACAATAAAGCATAAAAAGATTTATAGATCCTCAGAATAAAAATCCATTCTCTTCAAATGATCTAGCAGAAGTTGCCTAGGTGAGTTGGATCAATAAATTCAGCATTATCAAAAGTTGAGTAGAAAATAATATTATCAATAAAATGTGCATAAATGGACTATTTTAACATTAGGTCCCTAAATTAAGCTATTAAATTTCAAGAACAATAAAAACCCTAATCTGTTGGATTTTGTACCACTATAAGAATAAACTCTTTATCAGGAGCTACCATAATTTCATGTTTCTTTGACCTGATTCTCAGAAATGTGAGATCATTGGAAGGATCTAGATCTCTAACCACACTTCTAGCTTTATCTGCTAGTGAACTTATCAGGCCAGCATACTGAACAGTTGTTGTGTTGTCCAAAGTTGTTTTGATAGGTATGCCTAAAAAACTAATAATTTATCAAGGGGCTCTGACATTTTGATCAAATAAACCTTCTGAGTTGACAACTATTGTTCCTACTACTCCCTTATGGGATTGGATCCGTTTCATGGTTTCCTCGACTTCGTTTGACTAAAAAAAAATTGTTGAATTGAACGTAATTATATTGTTGTTTTGAAAAACTTACCATTTTTATTAATAATGAAACACTTTTCCACCACAACAAATACTTGGAACAATTTCACTTTTCAGAAATCTCCCTGAACTGACGTAAACGTCAAAATTGTCGCTCATACTGTACCTAACCAAAGCAGGCATTAGCCTGCTTTGTTTAGGTACCTGAGCTACTAGATGATGGCTTGGGTTCGTCAAAGAGCAGAAGATCTGTATAAAAAAGAAGAAGAATTATTAAGGTTGACAATAATTCAAAATATTGAAACAGTTGCAGACTTGAGATAACAGAATGAGTAGAAATAGAGATCTTCTGTCCAAAATCGGTCTCCGCCTGGACGGCAGAAGACCGGACGAGCTCAGAAGGATCCGTTGCAAGCTAGGAGTTTTTACTGAGCCCGACGGCAGCGCCTATTTGGAACAAGGCCTCACCAAAGTCCTAGCTGCCGTGTACGGTCCACATCAAGTACGAGGGGGCAGATCGAAAGCCCAACACGACACTGCTATCATCAATTGTCAGTTTAGTATGGCCGTATTCTCCACCACGGACAGGAAGAAGCGTCCGAGAGGTGACCGGAAATCAACGGAGCTATCTATGCATTTGCAGCAGGCCTTGGAGGCTGTTATAAAGAGCGAACTTTATCCTTGGTCACAGATAGATGTGTATGTTGAAGTATTACATGCAGATGGAGGTGAATTACAAATTACAGACTATTGAACATTTTCACTTATTTTGATAATTAATTTTCTAGGTATATACACAGCATGTGTTAATGCAGCTACCCTAGCTCTTATTGATGCTGGCATACCACTCAAAGAATATGTTTGTGCTTGTACAGCTAGTTTGGCTAACAATGATGTTCCTATGATTGATATTTCCCATCAGGAAGAAATCATAGGGGGGCCAACATTGACTGTGGCTGCTTTACCAATGTCAGGTAAAATTGTGTTGATGGAAATGTCTCAGCGTTTTCACATGGATCATTTGGAAAAGGTTCTGAATAAAGCTTTACAAGGGTGCAAGGATATTAGACAGATATTGGATGAGGCAGTGAGGTTACATGTGAGGGATATAGGCAGTTCTACAGGATGGGCTAATACAAGTTGAGGGGTTTTGACCTTTTTTATGGCAAGCTGGCTTGAAATAACATTTTTCTATTTGATTTTTTCCTAGATAAGAGTGGCCTGAGTCAATGCTAGAATTGAGAATAGATTAATCCACTTATAGGTGCAGTTTTTGTTTTGTCACACTGATTGAGAGGTAATCCACTCTCCCAAAAATATACATGGATTGGACCTATATTATAGATACAGAATGGACATTTGCATTATGAGATTACCAGTGAAATTAGGAATATTATATTGGGCCAATAACTTTAGATGGATTACATAGGGTCTGGACACCAAGTGAACACACATTGGACATAATGGTTATCCCCTGGACCCTGGTAAACATTTATGGAAATTGTGTACTTGAATTGGGGGCTTACAAGTTACAACCAAAGTCAAAATGTCTATCAGAAGTTGAACATTCTGTACCTATTTCCAAAATTCATTAGTGCTATTCCAGATCCCTCCTATTAGTCCAATAAATGAAGGATAAAAAAAAGGCAAAGTTAATGTTAATTACGCACTATTTTCATCTTCCGGTTGGAAGTAGCTTTTGGTATCTCATTAAACATGAGACAAAGTTTGACTGGAAAACGCGTGCGATGGCGGAGAAAATGGCCCCAAAAGACCAGGAAAATAGGTTTTCAGCCAATATCTCCTAAAATATGGCAGTTAGAGATTTTCGGTTCAGATAAAAATTGAAGTTCAGTTAATTTTCGAAAAAAATGGCCCGGTTTCGAGAAAAACGGCAGGAAACGCACCTCGAATAATGAGCTTCTGTGTTGTATGCCGGAGAGCACAGTCCGTGTATTAACATATCGGCGTGGGGACAAATTATTCAATAACTGTTAAAAATGCATATTTTCTCATGATTCAAAGTTCATGTGAAAGAGGAATTCTGCTGCTATACCCTGCGTGGCCGCATGGTTTGTAGCAGACGACCCGAGCGCCACGTAGAGCACACACGCGGCGAACGACGGAGGAACGAAAGTAATGAATTATAGCCTGTACATTTAGATATACTGGTTTTTTCCCGGGATATCAAAGGTATGACTTATATACATCGATGGAAAGGTGGAAATTCCCCCGTTACACTAGTCTAGGTGTTAAAATGTTAGAAATAAAGAGCACGGAGAAAAAAAACCACCGAAAAAAAAAAGTGCGTTTATTCCTTGACCCCGCTTTTTCTAATTTTATTGAAAAATGGACGACTTCGTCTAAAAAAGTAATTGCACAATCGAAAAGTAGACCTTCTTAGCTTTCAAATGATGTATCATAGAAACCAATCGGATCATGTATAAATTTTTAATTGATGGTTCTTCACAAAATTTCCCCACGTTCCAAAAACAGCAAACAATTAGGATTTAATAAACAAAGATTAAATGAAAATTAAAAAAAATTAGGGTATACAAATTTCAGGGATGACAAAGGACCTTATGAGGACCCATAATCAAGAAAATTTTGAGTAAATCAGTGCAATACAAAAAATAGGAACAAATTCCTGGCGAGGTCAAAATGACCGGGAGCAGAAAGTTTGACCCATGTTCCGATATGGCCAAAAGAGTCAAGCGTGACTCAATTCACAGGGTATGATAGCAGCAGAATTCCTCTTTCACATGAACTTTGAATCATGAGAAAATATGCATTTTTAACAAAGTTATTGAATAATTTGTGTAAATACACGGACTGTGCTCTCCGGCATACAACAGAAGCTCATTATTCGAGGTGCACTTCGTGCCGTTTTTCTCGAAACCGGGCAAATTTTCGAGAAAAATGATCAGGACCATTTTTGTAGAAAATTAACTGAACTTCAATTTTTATCTGAACCGAAAATCTCTAACTGCCATATTTTAGGAGATATTGGCTGAAAACCTATTTTTCTGGTCTTTTGGGGCAATTTTCTCCGCCATCGCACGCGTTTTCCAGTCAAACTTTGTCTCATGTTTAATGAGGTACCAAAAGCTACTTCCAACCGGAAGATGAAAATAGTGCGTAATTAATGTTAACTTTTTCCCTTTATTTATTGGACTATATACTCATGAAATTGATTGAATTAAGTCACCCATTTGTTAAATGTACATAATAGGAGTAGTCCTTGGAGCAGATGGTTATTGTTTTTTTTTATGTCTTAAACAGAGCCAATAGAATATGAATAAGTAGGGAGTAAAGTAGGTAGCTGGGTTCATGTTGAATTGAATGAGGCTTGGTTCAAAGGTAAATCAATATTTTTATTTATACAAAATAAGAATTGGACTTAAATATCTATTTACAATAAATTCAGTTAACCTATAAATATATATAGTTCAAAGTAAAATTGAATGGGACTAAATAAAAAGCTAAAATAGATCAACAATCTGTAAAAAAATTGTAAGGCTCACATAATATTCCTATCTTTCATCATTCTCTCTCATACTTGCATACCTCAGTTTGGAGTGGCATCAGGGTGTCTTTCCAAAATCATAGCAACTCCCTGAAAAGTAATGAAGAAAACAATCATCTTATTTTCATCAATTAAATTCTAATTGATCTAAGGTGATATTTAATAGATATGACTTTTCATAGAATGTTATGGAGACTATTATATTTTCTCAGAATCAGATATTCTAGGTTTTTTCAAGACTCTGAAATAATGACTACTGAAATAATTCAATATTCTGTGGTAGTAGTCAGGAATATAGTTGTTTTTCGTTAGATATTTCAACAATAATGGGCTAGTGGACTGGTGGTAAATAATCAGCACTCAATAAATAATGTGTCTATAGCTTCTTTGAAATTGTTGAATTTCAGAGCTCATTTAAAACGTGCCGTAGATGACCGCTATTTGACCATGTTCTGGGATACATGGTGGGGTAAGTTGTTATACTATTTCAGTATTGGTCAGATAATCTTCCATTCCTACTCATAAAGCTAGGTTGTCAGATCACTAATTATTATAATCAAGTTATTACAAAGTTAATAGAGCCCTATCATAGAATAAAATTACATCCAAATAAAATATGTCATTTATTTTGGCCTAATAGGAGGATGCCTTGATATTATAGATCTGTGACTTTCTTGAGCAACCTGCTTGTCAAAATATTTCTAATACTCCATAAAAAACATCATGTAAATATTAAATATTGAGTTGGCAATGCTGTGCTGAATGCTTAGAACTGACAAGACAACGCCGACAATCCTGTGTTGTCACGTTTACCGGACGAAATATCCCTAGTGTGAATTATGATTATTGTTAACACAAATTCATCACGAAATCATCGGGTCAGTTTTTATTTGCGGTGAATTTCTAGCAGTTTAAAAATTACCATAGTCCACTCGCATATTCTTATTGTTCAAAAAACAATGGAAATTGTGTCAGTTTTGATTTTTTTTTTGTGATCATACCTGGCCTCCAGCAGCACATGCCGCGATAAGCCCGAACTGTCCGTCTTCTCTGACCAATCTGTTGGCAGTGTGCATGGCCAGTCGGACGCCGGTGGCTGCAAAGGGGTGTCCTATCGACAGGGAGCCTCCCCAGTTGTTGAACTTGCTGATGTCGGGGGCGCCGATCTTAGTCTGTCTGTTCATGTAGTGTTGCGCGAACCAGTCGCTGTCCATCGCTTTGAAGTTTGCCAAAATTTGACCCTAACAACAAAAAAGTAATCGTTCTTTTCCGGTATGAATGTTCGAAAAAATTTAGCCTCCATTTTTTTTTTTCACAAAGTGAGCACTTTCCTACATTTCGATTTCATGTAATGAACACTGTATTTGAGTATTCTTTTGAAAAGTGCATTTCACAACAGTGTAGTTTATCTCTATCTGATTTTGGGGTGGATGTGAATTCTGTATTGAGTGGAGTTCCTCAAGGATCCGAACTTGGTCCTCTGTTGTTTTTGTGTTACACATTCATAACATATTCTAAAGTCAACCTGTTATTTTAATGGTGAAGACACAAAACTATAATAATACAAAATCACAACATATATTGCTTAATTGTCTTATACAACTGAAGTTCTCAGTGGGTACTACCAGTGAATATTGATGAATCTGTTGTACTCTACCTTATAAAACTAATCCAAGACAAAACTATACCATCAATAATGAGCAGTTGGTTGAGGTTGAATGCCACCATGATCTTGGAATTACCACAACCAGCAATTCAACGTGGTCACAAGATATTTTCGACATAAGCAAATGAGCGAAAAATTGTACCTCTTGAAAAAAGTATTTCCGAAAACGTCACCTGAATATGGAAGACAAGTTAGGAGCACTGAATTGATTACCGATTGTAACATGTTGAAATATGTGCAACAACGAGCAACCCGAATGTCCTTAGGTCTCAGAAGACCATCATACCAAGAACGTTTGAATCAGCATAGACTGACAACATATGCAGAATGGAGATTTGATTCTAACTTATAGGATTCTTCATAGATACCCACCTTTACTTAGTGATGTGTTCCAGATAAATGCTGATATATGAATAAGAGGACATGATTTCAAACTTATGAAAGAACATTTCAGGACGTCAAAACAGCAGAACTTAGTTGATCGTGTTTTCTCACATGGAACAACCTCGATCAGATACAGTTAATGCCTCAGTATCATCATTTAAAAGTCTATTAGATCATTAGATTAGATTATATTTGGAATGGGGCCTTAGGGCTATCTGCCTCCACACTGCGACCTTTTCAGATCTATTGTGTCTGCCCTCAAAATCGATTAGAGTTCTTCGGCTAGCCCCGCCTTCTCTATGAGACTCCATAGGCTAGCTTTCAGATCTCCTGTGTATCTCTGGGCTCCTGGTTTTTCCTCACCCAGCGTAAGGAACCTTAGTCTTGACAAGCCCTCACAGTGGCAAAGTATGTGTACTGCTGTTTCTTCCTCTCCTTGACAGAACCTGCACAGCAGTTCTTCAGTCAGACCTATCGTACTCATGTGTTTGTTGAGCCTACAATGCCCTGTGAGAAGTCCCACTAGTATTCTAGTCGAACTTCGTTTCTGGCTTAGTAGATATTCTCTGAATGTTGGCGATGGTTTTTTAATAAACTCTTTTGCCTGTCTCATTCCTGGCGAGTTGTTCCACCATTCTTGAGATTTAGTTTGCATCCATGATTCGATACTAGTCTTTTGTATAGCTTTCGCAATACCACAGAAGGGTTCTGGGCCATTAAGAGCTTTGTTTGCTCCTGCTCGGGCAAGTGAGTCTGCCTCTTCATTGCCCTCGTACCCTGGTACCCATGCTAGAGTCAATCTGTTCTGACTGCCCAGTGCATTTAGGGTTTCTAAGCAGTCCCATACTAGTTTTGAGTTAACTTGCATAGAGTTGACTGCTTTGATTGCCGCCTGGCTATCTGAATAGATTGCAATGGTTTTGCCTTTAAACTCTTGCCTTATCAATTCTTTCACGCAATGATGTATTGCAATAATTTCTGCCTGAAACACCTTCCCGTATTTGCCTAAGCTCAGTGAGATTCTTGTCTTTGGCTTGGCCCCATAAATACCAGCTCCTGATTAGATCATACTACTGAGTAAATTGTTTTTCCCTTCATATGGCACTATATATGATAATTTTATTTTGAAATGTTCAATTTCTATTTAATATTCAAATTAATTTTCATATTCTATTTGATCTTATTGTTTGGTAGCTATTTTTTTGAGAGGGTTAGAAAACACAAAATCATCCTCTAACCCTCTCATCACTACACTCCACAGCATTTTTTCCCCTTTATGTGTAGGATATACCTACTTCATGTTATTTTATTTTATAGGTTCACACCTCAGCCCATTTTTTGTTTGATAATAATATTAAAGTTAGAAACTCAACCGTCAGAAAATGGCAATGGCTGAAAATAGCCACACTCATTTGATTGATTCTGTTCAAATAGTGATTCACCTGAGTAATTAATAATGGTTCTGAACAAATAAAAACTTGATTTGAAATAATTCCAATTTCAGAATGTGTGGAACCTTTTCAAAATAGTGGTTATTGTATTTGAATTCTTACTGCAAATGCTTCATGGAATTCCCAAACGTCGATTTCTTTGGGCGTTAGTCCAGATTTATCGAGAATTTGTGGTGTACCATAGGCGGGTCCCAAAAGCAGTTGGTCGATCGGATCTTGAGAGACATACAGGAAGTTACGAAGGTATGCCTTTGGTTTGAGGCCAAGTTGTTTAGCTTTCTCTTCTGTTGTAATTAAACAAGCAGATGCACCATCAGTCTGGAAATAAATGTGAAATGTTCTGGAAAACTCAAAATCAATATAAAAATTAGAATATAACAATAAAAATCTGACAGTATTTCATGAAAGATTGGCAATAGATTGAACAAGAAAGTAATCCAGGATGGTTTGTAGTTCTAAAATGATTAATTTGATTGAATCTCTTTGACATTGATTTATGAGCCTCTAATCTGTCTTTGACAATTAGAATTTTCAGAAATGGTATCATCGATAAATAGAATTCAATAGAATTTGTTCATATCACTACAGCTACCTCCATAGGTGGATATATACATAAAAGTATAGGTACAAGTCGAAAATACTGTATATCTCAGTACACATGGATTCATGATAATTATTATGGAAAAATAGTTTGAAGGGTGGTAGTAGATTCTTGATCAGCAAATCTGTCCAAATTCAATTTCCAAAATGAAAATGTCTCAATGTTTGGGTTTTTGTCTCCTCTTCTCCATAAATATATTACTTTCATCTAATATATGAAATTCTCCTGTCCCTGTCATGCTGTTTGTCTCCAAACTCCTCCTGTCGGTCGTGAACTATTTTTCAAATTTAAAATTCAAGATGGTGGATCCAATATGGCGGACGAGTTTTGTAACCCAGTTTTATTCAAAATTGGTATCTGGGAGATTATGATTCTTTCGTCAAGTTGGAAATTCAAGATGACGGATCCAGTATGGCGAATTACTTTTGTAATTATGGTCTGATTCTATTCAAAATTGATATCTGGAAGTTTTCGGGGTCGGACATTATGATTCCTTGGTCAAAATTAGGAAATTCAAAATGGCGGATACAATATGGCGAGAACGAGTTTGTATCTGGGGTTTATTGGGATCAAAGATAATGATTCTTTTGTCAAAATTTGGAAATTCAAGATGACAGATCCAATATGGCGAACGTTTTGTAATTATGGTCCGATTCTATTCAAAATTGGTGACTTGAGAGTTTTCAGGGAAGGATATTATGATTCCTTTGTCAAAATTAGGAAATCAAGGATGGCGGGTTCAATATGGCGGACGAGTTTTGTAATAACTATGATCCTAGTCTATACAAAATTTGTATCTGGGGGTTTTTGGGGGAGGTTATGATGTTCTCTTCAAAATTGGGAAATTCAAGATGGCGAATCCAATATGGCGAACAAGCTTTTTAATGAATCTAAGTTTGAAAAACTATAATGGAACACGTTTTTATAGATAGCCAAAATGAAGACCAAACTAAGAAGACATTGAAAATAGATAGTATAGTTTGAAGAACTAAAGAAACATGGTTTTATGGATAGCCCAACTAAAACAATATTTTCTCCAAATAAATGTACATGTATAATATAGATAGCCGTACTACCATACTAATAGTAGTAAGAAGTAGAAAATAAATAGAATAGTTTGAAAAAGTAAGGGAAGCACACTTTTATGGATAGCCAAACCAAAAAGAAGTAGAAAATAAAATAATAAAAAATAATGTTTATGGAAAACAATGTTTGCTGGGTCAGCTAATACTTGCACTGAGGACAAATAAAATAAAATGAGTATATTGAAAAATGGAAACTCACCAAAAATGATGAATTTGCAGCAGTAACAGTCCCATGAGGCTTGATGAATGCTGGCTTCAGTGAAGCCATTTTTTCTGGAGTAGATACACGAATTCCATTATCCCTGTCCACTGGCTTATCAACTCCAGGTACTTGGAAAGGAATCAGATCAGTGAAATAGCCCTTTTCAAATGCCTGTTGGGCACAAGTGTGTGACCTCAATGCAAAGTCATCTTGTTCTTTTCTGCTAGCCCCAAATGCAGCAGCCAACCTGGAATGCACAGATCATTTCAATATTAAAATCATTAGAATGCAAACAATCTTCAGTTTTGTTTGATTCCTGCCTGTGAGTGATTATAGTACCTATCTGCTGAATGACCCATTGTCTCTCCAGAAGAATATTCAGCAACAGCAGGGAGTTCTGGGACAAAGAAGTCAGGTCTGATGGTGGCTAGCATTGAAAGTTTTTGTTGGATTGTTTTAGCCTTGTTTGCTCTCAACATCAGACTACGCATCTTCTTGCTGTGTCTGATGGGGACATCAGACATGGTTTCAACTCCACCACAAACTATCATATCATATACTCCACTATTGATCAACCCAATTGCTGAGCAAAAAAAAATCAAATATAAAATGTGAAACTTGAAAGGATGGAAGCCAAAATACCTGATGTCATAGCAACATTGGAAGAGATGCAAGCCAGTGTTACAGTGTGAGATGGAGTTTTATCATTATAGCCTGCAGCTAGTGATGCTTCCCTAGCTATATTTGAAGTTTTCACTTCCTGGATTACAGTTCCATAAATAATGTAATCAATAAGGTCCTTAGAAACTCCTGTCTTTTTCAAAATACCACTGTAAGAAATTTCAATAATGCATTCAACAGTAGAATCTTGAAAAATAAATTATTCACCTCAGAGCTTGCTTGGCCAATTCATGGGGCATCAATTTGGCAAAATCAGTTCCAGACATCAAAAAAGGGGTTCTCACTCCATCCACTAAAACAATATTCTGACCATTTTTGGGGGCCAAAGTTTTTTTCTGGCTCACTTGTGTACCAATAGAAAAGGCCCGTAAGGTATCTACAATTAATTCATCATTAGAAATGAACTTTGCACAGTGCAAATTTTATACATTAATTTTATTTTGGTTTAAATAATGAAATAAACTCACTAATTTGTAGTTGTATTAATCCTAGAGCAGTAGGACTTTTCACAAGGTTTCTTGCTGAATATAGGGCCATTTTAAACGTATCAAAATCTATTAAACCAAAATCAAAAAGAACTGAAGGGATTAAAGGAAAGGCACGGAACCAAATAAATATTTATGCTGTAGAACTGTAGAGGTAGAAGTAGAACAAAAAATGGACTTTGATCCGCAGGCCCTAACTCAAAAAATCAAACCCCCCTCCAAAGCACAAAGTCCAAACTTCACATTTACAATATTTACATCTGTTTGTGACGTTCCAATGCAAGCAAGGTTCGCTTTGTAATTTTACGGCAAATTCGTCTGAGGGCAATTCAAAGCGTTAATAAAAAGAAGGAGAAGAAAAAATGTTGCATGAGCAACTAGCTATTAAGGAACGTAGCGTTCTTCTTATCTTCTGATTTGTGCTAATATTCTGGAATAACTTCATACAGGACATTATCCATACTGACTCCAGTTATCAGTGTTACTGTGTCTATGCCTCATTTTGATTGAATTCGTGCTCACCAGAGTTCAGAGGGGCTGTTCCAGACCAGAATCCAGAGTTGTGTGTGAACTACTGGCACAGAATACCAAAGAACTGTGAGTGTTGTGATGGTGTTGTATTGTGAGTTGTGATAGTTTGATGATGTTTATGTTTTGGAGTTGGAGTTTTGGTTGTAATTTCAATTTCTGAATTTATTGATCATATTTGAACATGGATAATGAAAATTCTGTAATATATGGCCTAGAATTTCAGGTATAACAATAAAGAACTACTGACAAGAACTAACAGGTAGTTTGCTGTTCCCTATAAATAATTGATTTTTTTAGGCTAGAGCTCTGGCACCTCAACTAGCAGAAATAGAAAAAATTAAATTTTTGATTGGGACCCAGTCTTTGAAACAGGCCAACAATCAAATTCATGTAATAGAATTCCATGAGGAAACGTCCATTGTAGAAACATCAGTGAGACACATCAAACCATATCCAGTTTTGAATCATTGATTGTAATTTTTCAGGTATTTTATCATTCTGAAGGAGAAATCTGGAAAATCAACACTAGTCCTACAGATCCACTCAAATTGGCCACATGCTACAATTCTGTTACAGGTGAAAGCAGCTGTTCCATGAAAACTGCTATCCTGACACTGCCTGAAATTGAAAGTAGTGACACCATAGAAAATTTGGAAATTGTCACCAAACTAGACACAAGCATTTTTGGAAGTGATGTTAAAACCACAGACTTCCACCCAACTGAAACAAACACAGCTGTATCTTTGACAGATACTCAGCTGATTCTTTGGGACATTTCTGGAAGTGAGGGAAAGAACATTTTGAATATTCCCCTGGAGGGTAAAAATAGTCCCAAGTTCACTAATGGCAAGTGGAATCCACATCAGAATTGTAGTCAGGTAATTCTATTATATTCATTATCAATCTGAAACAACTTATTTAGGTATCTATTTTTTTAAGTTTACAACTGCAACTGAGACCCACTTGAAATCCTATGATATTCGGTCAGGTGATTTAGCATGGAGCATAGACAATGCTCACAATCAGTTAGTAAGAGATATTGATTACAATATGAATAAACAATATCACCTTGCAACTTGTGGGGATGATGCATTTCTTAAAATATGGGATTTTAGGCAACCCAGTATGCCAGTGTTCTCTAGAAGTGATCATTCACATTGGTCAGTAACACTCTCTTCAGTATTATCTCTGATGTTGGATGTTAACTACTTGACTAGGTACTTATAGCAGCACTGTTAGATGTTTATTTTTAGGATATGGTGTGTGAGATTCAATCATTTCCATGATCAGTTGGTTCTCACAGCCAGTTCTGATGCCAGAGTTTTATTGACTAGTACAGCTAGTGTCAGTTCTGAAAATATTCTTGAAACTTGTGCTAGTGAGGATAATGAAGAATTAGAAACCAAACAAAAGTGAGTGAATGTATCATCCATAGAGCTGTAATTATTTTCTTTATTTTTTTTTCTAAAGATTAAAAGATGGACCTTTACAATGGTGTGAACATGAAGATAGTGTTTATTGTGCTGAATGGACTCCAGCTGATCCTTGGGTTTTTGCATCCCTGAGTTATGATGGCAGACTGCTGATATCACATGTTAAAAAGTCTTTGAAATATCAAATAATGCTGTGATTGCTTCTTGAATCTGGTATATGATGTCAAAGGTCCCTATTTCTAATTATATTTATTGTCAATGAATAGAAATAATGCATACCAATAAAGTATGAAAATATAATTCATATCCTTGTTTTTTGTCTCACATCTAAATATTATTATTGGGATTCAATATAGGTATGAAATTGATTAAAAATCCCCAAGCAAGAACTATCTATATATATGGTTTGATGAAAAAACAGAAAGCGATTATAATTTTATGTTTATGATTAAGACTGAGACTATAAAAATGTTGCATGAATGCACCTATTGAAATGTATGCTCATAACTTTATTTCATGATTTCATGACTCATGAGTGATGTGCGTGGAAACCCCGGTTTTCTATGGTGATGTGTTTTTCCATTAATTGTGTGCTTAAACAAGTCATATAAGGTTGGTAATGTTTGTATGGTGCAAACCTGCCTATGATGTTACAGATTTCATTAAAAAGTTGTACATGTACAAGGATTATAGGACTTACTGACAATAGCTATTTATGTATCAAGGGAGCAAAGATATCCATTTCCTCCCGCATATGAAGTTTGATGCGCGACGCGTAGCGGAGGGCAATAGGGCATTAGACACACGGGAGGAAATGAACCTTTCCTCCAAGATATATAATAATTTTATCCACAAACGCATATATTTGAGAGCGTCGTTCTTAAAATTGTGCTTCAAGCGGTCTATCTCTAGAGTCCTGATCAAAATCAATGTATTACATGATCTAAGGTTACAGGATGATGGAAGTGAAAATTTCAGAAAAATCACTGGACCCCCTACTATGATTTCTCTACGTCACAACAAGCGAGACGTTAATTCTACATTTTCCCGCTAGATGGTGATGCTTCTATTGCTGCTCAAGGTTGGTAGAACTGATTATAATTTGTAGACAAAATAATCATCATTTCTACCAACCTTGTTGCTGCTGAGACGAGTGGAAATGAAATGGCCAATGGCATTTTAGGTACGCGGAACATATGTAACATGTATGTAACAGTGGGATTATTCAACTCTCAATTCAAGAAATCTGCGACAATTTCAAAACTGACAGATGTTATAATTCAAGGTTGGTAGAACTGTTATAATTGTGCATGTCGCCATCTATTAGAAGTTCGACGGAACCATTGCTCTCGCTGTTCTCGAGAGGTCGAGCATAGATTAAGGGTCGAGTAAAATTTCTGGAACAAAAGCGCATCAGTTATTCCTATTACCTACACCTACGCCAATGATCGTTAATCAAATGAGAAGCAGAAAAAATCTGTCATGGAACAACCGCATGGCATTGATCACAGAACACAATTACCTATTCTTAGTTGTCATTGTCAGTGTTATCCTTTCATTCCCTTCAGTCGCTTGTCAGGTTTTCAATTCCCAAAAATCAACTATTTGATTACCTAATAATTTTTGGATTGAAAGTGTTCACTTTAATAGATTTAAATTAGTCGAAATGGCGGTCAGCTTTGTCCAAAAACGCTTCATGGCCAGCGCATTGCAAAGGTGGGCCTACAATCTCTCTGGATTCAACAAATACGGCCTTTGGAGAGATGACATTCTTTATGAAGACGACGACGTGAAGGAGGCCATCAGAAGGCTCCCAGCAAATATCGTGGACGAGAGGAACTATCGTATCCTCAGGGCAGTACAATTGTCGGGCAACAAAGATATCCTTCCCAAAGATCAGTGGACAAAACTTGAAGATGATAAGTTGTATCTCACCCCCATTGTGAAAGAAGTTATTAAGGAAAGGGAGGAAAGGCAAGAATGGAACAAGAATTATTGAATATATAATATGTCAGTAGTGTGAATGTAAAGAACTAAGTTATTTGGGTCAATAAAATGTAAATACCAGACAAATTTGAATCATACATCTTTGTTCATATTATATTATTCCCCAAAGTTATCTTCAGGCCATATTACATTAATATGTATTTTATATTTCTGCAGGTATTATGCATTCCCAGTTGGCTTAGAAAAACAGCAATTATAAAAATTATATTTATTACTATGAGGTTCTTAGAAATTACTCAATCACTCTTTACATCTGTGTACTAAATTATATTATCCTAAATTAAAAAAATATCAGCAGTACCAGATAGATCTAGGCACTTATAAATAAAATAACTCATGCATTCCTAATTCTCATCCTCTTCAATCTTTGGGGCCAAATAGTAGCGCAAATGTCCCATTTCAGGAATCTGATACTCCACCACCAAAGGTACATTATCTGACATGGAAAGTTGAACTTGTGTAGTGAGGGGAGTAGCTTTAGTGAAAGAGCCAAGATACTGACATGCAAAGGTTAGAGTTACAGGTTCTTGCATTTCAATTGTAACACTTTCCTCCTCTTTGTCAAAGTTACTGGTTTGGGCAATTTTGATGTTAGCACTACCAATGTCACCTGAAGTGGAGAATTTAACACCTTCCTTTGTGCAGGATATAACAATAGATTCTCCAAACTGTGAAAGATCCCTTACAATCCTGGCAAATTCACCTGAAGGCATTTTGATTATACATGAAAAGTCAGTATCAGGGATTCCAAGGTGTTCCTGATCCAAATTCATGAGTTTCATCTCATAATCTGATATTTTATCTTGTTTCTTAGCTTCAAACATGAATGTAACTGTATCTGCATCATCTTGAGCCTTTATTGTAACTGTGTCATCATTGCTAGAGCATTTGAAGATCTTTGACATACTGCAAGAAAACCGTTTCATGGAGTAATCAAGATTATTTAAATAATAGGTCATATTTCTTACCTAGCCAAGTTCATTCCCATTGTGAGGTTCCTGTCGCACCTATACTTGTCGAATCCATCATGCCTGAGTGTTAACGATACCAAAGAAACGTGAGAATTGTCCATGGCCTGCAGCTGGATCCCGGATTCAGAACAATCGAAGGTGGCTTCATTGAGAAGATCTTTGATGGCATCCAAAACCTTCTTGAAGGTAACACTGTTGATCAAACGTGCCTCGAACATTTTGGTTTTTATGTTAACTTGATTTTGATAAAATTACTGACGCTACGCACAACAAAGTACAAAAAATTATAGCCGGCAATAAAACAAAAATGAACTACCAAAGTACTGATGCAAGAATGAAAATGAGGGAAGTTTGCGCGCGAATTGGGCGACAGTGGTTCTTTTTGTGTTTGTGGCAGCATTGTTAATGAGAGAAAGATGACATATGCCAAAGTCAAAATATGCTCTTCCTTTTTTTAGTTACCTACCTAGCTGATTCTTCTTCCATCAATACCAGATGCGACTTGAGCCATTAATGACTGGTGCCTCCAAAACAGTTAGCCAGATTTTCTTATAGGTCGCGTGCAAGAACTGTCAGATGACTGACCCTGGAGGCAAAACATATTTGTTTACAAGTGATCGCAATAGTTTTCCACAATTATTTTGGCATATGAATCGTATTTTTCCGCTATTCATCAATTCGCTCATGCCATCACATTGTGCTGTTGTAAAATGCACAAAAACTGCAGCGGAAGATGAAGGAATCCGGATGGTACATTATGATTTAAAAGTAAGTACCTACTATAGTCACTCACATATAGTTTTCATTATTGAAATTTGGTTATTTCTCTGATTTCTCATCGGAATTCCTTCTGCAATAGGATCAGCTAATAGAAATATACCTGAAATTTCTAGAATAATGCAAGAAGATTGGATTCATGCAATCAATCGGTAGGACTGGTCTAACATGCTGACGATCGTGTGTGTTGTAGACATTTTCAATCTATTAGCAGTATTAGCTTGTATTGCAGAAGTGGCAGAAGGCGGAAGGAATTTTAATAATGAATGACAACATTTCATAATGCTGACTAGGTGAGATTACTATTTACCTGAAAAATCATATTCCCTAGTCTCTTGCTGCATTTTTTGTGCATTGTACAACAGCACAATGCGAAGGCATGCTTGAATTAATGAATAACGCAAGAAATACGATTCGTATGCCAAAATATTGTGAAAAACTATTTCAACCTTTTGATTCCTCTGTAACCAAATAAAAAAGTGAGGTTGTGTTTCAATAATTCACAGAAGAATGAGGTTATGTTTCAATATTTCCTCCAGGGTCGGTCTTCGTGCACGCGACCTATTTGAGATAATTGATCTCAAACAAATCAAAATCGAATCATAACCTAAAATATTCTCTTTTAAATGTTTATTTTTTTGTGAGTTTGTGAGGTTCCTCAAAATTTGTGTCTTTGAATCAAAGAAGTTGAAATATGTTCAACCAAAGCTCCCTTGGGACCTTCGGTTCCACGACAACCCCGAATTCGGCTAATCCGATGAAGGATTTCGAAGTTATGCAGTCTCCTGAGGATTCAATAAGTTCGTTGGCATTTTCACCTTCAACAATTCCACAAAATTTCCTCATAGCTGGAAGTTGGGACAACAATGTAAGATGTTGGGAAATTGAACAGAATGGGACTAGCATCCCCAAGTCAATGCAGTCTTGTGGAGGACCTGTCATGGATGTTGCTTGGAGTGATGATGGAACCAAGGTAATATATTATGCTCATAGGCATTTATTTGAAATAAAATAGAATTTGTTAAGGTGTTTATGGCTGGTTGTGATAAACAAGCAAAAATGTGGGATTTGGCCAGCAATCAAGTGGTCCAGGTGGCAGTGCACGATGCTCCTATAAAAACTTGCCACTGGATCAAAGCTCCCAACTATTCATGCCTTATGACTGGCTCCTGGGATAAAACCCTCAAATTTTGGGATACACGCAGTCCCAACCCTATGATGAGCATTTCATTGCCAGAACGCTGTTATTGTGCTGATGTGGACTACCCAATGGCTGTTGTTGGGACTGCTGGTAGACAAATTATTGTTTATCAGCTAGAAGGAAAGCCACAGGAGTTCAAAAAGTTGGATAGCCCTCTTAAATATCAGCATAGATGTGTTGCCATATTCAAGTAAGTAACATCAAGCTATTTGATTTGTCACATTTGCAACTGGCTAATATACAGGGTTGGATGATTTAATGAATAAATAGGAAGTTGATTAAATTACAAAGTTGCATAGTTTGAACCTATTCAATATGATGTTTTGCAATTTGGAAACATGTTAACTGGTCCTGAAATATTTTGAAAAAATTGAAAAATTACTGATTTTGTTGTTATTCATTTTCTTGGTTAGTATTAGAGGAAACAATAAGACATTTTGTGTTAATAGGTAATTAATCATGGCAAGAAGATGAGATTCTTAGATATAGTCTTTCTCCATTATTTTCAGAGATTCACCATGCAACTTGTGCTCTACTTATGGGCGCCATATTTGTTTTTTTTTACCAATGAATACATCTTAAAATTTCCTTCATAGCCATGTATCACATGTTGACATTTTCACATGAAACAGCCTCAAAAAACGGTGGAAAGAGTTTCAAAAGTGGTAGGCCATGATGAAAAGAAAACAAAATATGTCATCATGACTTCAAGCATAGATCTAATATTTAGATCTATCTTGATTATTTAATGAAAATTATTCTTGGTTTTTCTGTGAGTTTTTCCCATTTTTGCATAATAAGTAGCATGTTATTTATGGCTATGAAGAAGTATTGATACTTGTAGTTTTACTGTTTTTTTGGCTCAGTTTCATGTGAAAATGTCAACATGTTTTACATGGCTGTGGAGGGAATTTTTAGCTCTATTTAATGGTATACAAAACAAATATGGCGCCCATAATATAGACACAAGTTACATGGTGAATCTCTGAAAATAATGGATATAGAATATTTCTGACAATCTCATCTTCTTTGTCATGATCAAACCTACTTACACAAAAATTTAATCTTTTTCTTTCAATATTAACCATGAAAATGAATACAAATTTCAGGAATGGTTTACATTTTTCCAAAGTGCAAATCATTATATTGAAGACATCCAATCAAATTATTTATTCAATAATTGAAAATTCTGATTACTCATGGATAATTGTGTTAATAATAGGTATACAGTATGAAAAAGATCAAATATATTGTGAATAAATCATTAATAAATTAACAAGAACTGTTTACATTTTATTAGCAACTTATGCAACTTTCATCTAATTTAATGAACTCTCTATAACTGTCCCTATTAAATCCCTGTATATTCTATAGTTCTAATTGAATAGTACTGATTAGTTGATATGAAAAAGTGAACATTACTGTGGATATTTTTATATTATTTGTTTTGCAAGTGTAGATGGTGGTTATTGAATTTTCCTTTGATTAAAAGAACATACTCCATTGGTTTGTATCTATGGACATTTCATTTGAATATTAGCTACCAATTTCATCTGTGTTTTTTTAGAGATAAGAAGAAAGCCCCAGTAGGTTATGCCTTAGGTTCAGTAGAAGGCAGAGTGGCAATCCAATATGTCAACCCAACAAATCCCAAAGACAACTTCACTTTCAAATGTCATCGTTCTAATGGTGCTCCAAATGGCTACCAAGACATCTATGCAGTGAATGACATTGCTTTCCATCCTGTCCATGGTACTTTGGCTACTGTTGGATCAGATGGTTCTTTCAGTTTCTGGGATAAGGATGCTAGAACGAAATTGAAACCCTCAGAGCTCATGGAACAGCCAATCACCAGATGCTCTTTCAACCACAATGGGCAGATTTTTGCTTATTCTGTGAGTTATGATTGGAGTAAGGGGCATGAGTTCTATAACACTCAGAAGAAGAATTATATTTTCTTGAGGCCATGTTATGATGAACTGAAACCAAGGACATCATCTTAAACTGTCTGAATATACTTTATTGATGTGATTGAAGTTTTTTATTTTGGAAATAAATGTTTAGAATTGTGGCATTTTTGTTGTATGCATGTACTTGCTCACCACTCATATACACCTCAAACTGAATATACAGGGTGATCCACGGTGGATGGCCTATTAGAAGTATCTGGAGAACGAAAAGACAGAACATTCTGAAAATCGGGATGCTTCGATAATTGAACATGCTCTATCTGTCTGAAATATTTTCATCGATACAGTGTTGCCACTT